AAATAAGTCATATCAACACAAAGCTTTATCTCACAGTAAACAACCAACTCTGAGAATAAATTACCTTTTATTATGACATTATTTCCAGCTACATTAAATGTCTGAGAAAGTTTCATTCTCAAAGAATGATTGAGAAAATCATCATAGTGACCACAAATACGTTGCATACTATAGCAAGAAACTAAGTTAAAATGAGGTGAGGTCACCTCAATAACCAATCCTGATGTTATTAAATCTAGAAGCACAAATTATACAAACAATTCAGAAGTCCTTCCTAATAATGGTATTGTCTAGTAACTTCCCAAATTAAAATAATTATTTAAATGTCATTCATGATGATTAGTTATTAGGCACATTGCATTACAGTGATCATGTGTAACTATGTTATAGCTCCTTACATTTTCTCCAATAATGTAAAATATTATTTGTAGTTGGAGGAAATATTTAGAAAATAAAATAAATGTTACTTTAGAGAAATACATTTAACACCTTACTTAGCAGGATATTTGCCACTTCTGTCTTGAAAACAATTAGAAAATGCTTCCATGCCTGCTCCCCTCTGCGTTTTTGGGCAGTTTATACCTTCTCAGTTCACCTTCCATCAGGAGATGAGCAGCAGAAAAGAGAGCAAATAGAAGACACTATTTTCAAGTGTTGTAAAAAAAAAAAGGGCAATGTAAATAATAGCTGAAATGAGTTCTAGAGGTTCCTTGTATCATTTATGCGTGAACATCTGTTAATTAGAGATGATAAATCATTACTACCCTGAAGCTGTTCTGACTAAGAAGTTTTACAGATCATGTTGCCCTGCAGAAGGAGTAACCGTATATCCTTCTTTGACCTGCTTTAAGCCTCTGCTGTCCTGGCATTATTTTTAGTAGAGATACCCTCTCCACTTTACTCTCAGAATTGTCTTGATTTCCATGACAGATGTTATGGTCACCCTATAGGCGATGCCGTAAAAGAAGGATGGAATGTCTCATTCTACACTGCAGTTTCTCTGCAGTCTAACAGCAGGAAGCTCCAAGTCCACTCTCCCAGTGCCCCAGTTCATGCTTATTCTGAGTGGGGACAGATGAGCGAGGGGCCTACTGCTCCTGTCTGTAGCAGAGGTATGCCCCCAAGACTCATCCAAAATGCCTTGCTCTTCAAAAGGCCTTGCTTAACAACCATACAGTTGCTTAGCTGGGCCACACTGTATAAGAAAAGTTTATCAGCGTTGCCCCTGATAATAAAGTTTACTTAAAGTTTATTTTTAAAAAGCACTAACATTTGTTGGAGAGCTCTTCACGTTTCCTTAGTAAGAGTTAAAGGAAACTTGAATGCCTTTCACAGTACAAAGTTGAGAGCATCAATTTAAAAAGTCATATTTTTGTATGACTCTATAGATACCGTGTGCATGCCTGTGTTCACCTGCCAAGAATCTCTTTAGGGTCTGCATGGGTCAAGCACCTAACAGTTCATTACAAATGGCTAGAGAAAAAGAAACAGAACATTGAGGCTTCTGTTTTTTCATACCTCACATATATCCCAAAAAGGTGAACTAGATTTCCTGTCCACCTTTTAGGATTTCTTTTATAAGTTTCTTTTCATATTTCATCAGAGTAGTTCTTCTTCACTGCTACTATCTTCGGTAGTGGTAAATGAAAAACAATGGCTCTTATCTGCTGGTGAGAAATGGGAGTTAAAAGCTACAGATGGGATATTATACTTTAACAAAATAGTAAACATATTTGATGAATGCCAGTGTTCGTCAATTTCAGAAACATCCAAAGAGAACCATATTTTTTATCCACACTTGTAGAAGCAGAAAATTACCACCTAAGAGTGGCAAACACTCATATCATAAAGCCACAATTTCTTTAAAATGAAGGAAAGCTTTCATTTACTCAAATAATATGTCATTCAAATACTAACATGTGATAAATATGAAGTGAAAATCACCCATATCCTTGTTCGATCAGAACCAGAATGAGAATCATGGCCTGAAGGGAGTTCCTGGGGCAGTTTACTCACGGACCATGTCTCATGTACCCCTTCGCATTACAAACCCACAACACTCACGACAAACCTAGAAGGTCCAGTATCTGCCTGCCACCCCCAGTCCAGCAGCACCAGGTTCATGCTTCTTCAAAGCATGGAAGAGCCACTCAACAGATGGCAAATCAAGGTCACTGGTCCATGGCATTGAAGAGAAGGTATTGCATTTGTGATCTTGAATGTGTTGTGGATTGCTTCCTCTTAGACATGCCTGTGCCTCACACTTTAAAAAACTGAGTATTCAAAGTGTCCTTTTTTACTTAAAAAAAAAAATCACCCAGGTTTTCAACTCCCAGAACAGCAAAACAAAATTGTATAGGTCCTCTTTATTTTGCTTTTCTCTAAAATCCTTCTAGGGTAGGGAAGGGGAAAGGGTACCAATATAATACAAATAGATTGGAAAAAAAATCTAAAGTGGAGAATAAAAGGTACAGCTTTTGACCTCTTAGGTAATGAAGGCAGGTTTCTCAATCTTTCAAAACTGGAGGTAAGAACAATCCCCTCTCTACCCAGGAGGTGAAGGCTGGCTTCAGAAGTGGGGCTCATATGCCACTGGTTTGTTCTGCTTGTAATTCCAGCATGAAGTCAAAGCGAGGACTAAAGCCTTGCTCCTTGAGGAGAGGCACTGGGATCATCACTATGAGCATCATGGAGCATCATCAGTATGAGAAATGCAGATGCTCAGGCTCCACCCAGACATGCTGGATCAGAATCTGCCTTGTAACAAGATGCTCAGGTGATTCCTATGCACATGGCGTTGGAGTAGCACTGCTTTAGAGGACTTGGAATGAGCAGGTGGACAGCTAATCCCTTCCTACCGGGGATGTTTAGTTCTCCATTGCAAATAAATTCACTACCGTTCCCAGTAGCACAATTTCCTACTTGGAGAAAAAAGAAAACTGGAATTTGACTCCCTGTTCTAATCCTTATTAGCAAATTACAGAAGTTCTCTGAGCAACTTTTCTTTACCTAAAAAAAAACAAAACCTATTTTCCAAGACTGCTATGAGAATCAGATGAGAGAGGAGTGTGAAGATGCCCAAGAGTGTGCCTGGCACAAGGCTGAAAACTACTTTTGACTCAGTAAGGAAATATAGGACCCACAAGTATTGCTCCAACATGGAAAGAATGCCAATTTCCCCAAAGTTAGCATATACCTGTGATACAATTCCAACAAAAATCTCAACAGCTATTTTTAATTATACAAAATAATCTGAAATCTATATGGAGAAAGAAACCTTAACCAAGACAAGAAAGGAAGGTGCTTTAAAAAAAACAGAAAAATATAAAAGAATATATAAAATTCTAGAGAAAAATTCTACTAAAAACAACATGTACACAGGTATAAATAAATCTATCTTTGTACTTAACAAGGAAAAATACAGAGGGATGCACACTAGGTGGTTACCATGGACTATTCTGTCAGTGGGGATTGAGACTGAGAGAAAAGAAGGTCCAGAGAAAGAAGGAAGCAATCTCAATAAATAAATAAATAAGAACACCAACACAGAAAATGAAAAAGCTGAAACACAAGATAACAACAAATAAATAATATTTTCTATTCTTTTGGGACATAAAGAGCTCTGAAGTTGTTCAAGGAATAGGTGTTTTTAAGCAAATTCATTACTCAGAAGAGCAATATTTTTGTTAAATGATTTAGGTTTTTTCCTCTACAAAATACAGATTATTAAGAAACGCTCCAAGGTTCAGAACTCAGTAATTGTCCATGCAGAGGCACTGTCTAGGGCCAAGAAAGTGAGTTCTGCTCCTGGCACCATCACCATTGGGCTATTCGACCTTTGGCAAGTCACTAACCTACACTTACTTTTTCGTCCACAAAGTAAGGAAGTACAACCAGGTCACCTTTAAATCCCCCTTAGTTATAAAAATACGATGATTCTATAATTTAAAAGCATAAATCGTAAAAGTGAAAGACTAGTAAATAGAGTGAGAATTACTACACATTTTAAAGAAACAAAGTTTGAAATCTTAATACCTATTAACTAAGCAGGTAATTAATTACCAGGCTTTAAAATGTACTTTTTTAGAATTTAAAACTGTGATCAATTAGTGATTTTACATTTCCAAGTGGTGCATTTAACTACTCAATGCTTTATTTCTCATGTTGAGGAAAAAAATGATTCCACTTTAGATATATTTCACATTACTCATTGAAGTAAGGCTTAATTTGTCACTTTAAAATGAAGCCATCCCTAAGGAATATTCAAAGTTTTAATTTTATATTTTCCTCATAAGTTTTATAAATAATAATGTGATTATTAATAACACATCATGAAAATTTATGCCTGGGTGCAAAACATTAAAAAGTCATTAGCTCATAGAGCACAAAGATTTCCATGAGCTTGTTAAATCTTATGTATTTATTTCCTTAAGTGGATATGGGATTTTCCAAAAGCATACACAAAAATCCTTAAAATTTGGCCAATTTAGAAATAGTATATGAGAAACACCTTTTCAGGCTGTATGGGATCTTCCAGAAGAACTACTCCAGTCTCTTTATAGGATATCTGGATATGAATTCCTACAGAAACATAGTAAGACTGCTTGCCTCAACCAGATAGTATAGGCTATGAAGAAGTGAGGAAACAATTTACGGCTTGCACATTTATCTGAAATTCCTGAACACAAGCAGTTTCCTAAGTAGTTCGTCATAATTTTCTTCATCTACAAGCACGTGCATTTATTTATATCCCTAGATTAAGTTCAAGTCTAATTTTACCGCCACTTGTAGGAGTGGATTTCTTTTTTGTTATTACAAATGGAACTTGAGCTAAATCAAAGGCATTTTAAGGTCAAATTTTACTTCTCTGAAAATCAGAGGGTGTGATCCCATGTAATTAATTAATGTTCAGCCATGCCCTTTGGCGCATTACACGGTGGCTGCAGGAAACCGAGTCCAGCCGTCCCCACCTGTTGGTGCAGTGGAACTCTTTGACTTACCCAAAAGAGCAGATTGAGGGCGTAGAGCAAGCAGCGTAGGCACTTCACGGAATCTTCTCTGGCCATTGTGAGCCCGGGAAAGAAGACCCATCCTTTCACCACATCCTACCCCCACGGGCAAAGCAGCGGCGATCTGCAGGAGGAGAGAAGAACCCGGACTTCTCACTGCGCTGCGCACCCCCAGCTCATCCCTCCTCCGCCAGCCCTCAGCTCGGTCCGGAATCTGGTCCCAAGCCTAGTTCGTTCGAGACATCGCTTCATCGAAAATCATGTGTTACAGTTATAATGGTAACCTAAACTCCCAGAAGTAGCAAACCGGCTTCAGATATCACCTGCTTGAGAAGAGAAAAGACTGACTCCCCGGATGAATGGAGGCGCACAGCGAACTCCGGTTCTCAGGGGACACGCGGCGGTGCCCTCTGCATTCTGATGAGACGCTCTTTAACGCCTCCCTCAGTCCACGCCCCTCCTCGGGGACAGCTCAGCTCGGAACTGTCCCGAAGGTCAGAAACCACACTCCCCCCGGAGATGTCAAAGGCGCCGCCGGCGAGCCCCTCTTTTTAGGACAGTTCCTGGACCCCCACCCCCAGCTCCATCCCGCAGCTCGCGTGTGGATGCGGGGCACTAGGAGGGGGCGCAGCGCCGAGCTGGGACTCTGCCCGCGACCAGGGTTTCTTTGGGAGAACGTGAGAAATGATGTTTCGGCCCCGGAATGATGGATTAGCCTGGGACCGGGGGCGGGGAGGGGCGCCGGGGAATTAGGGCCGGTGCAGCTGTGCAGACGCCGAGTTACTCATTCACGTCCCCCTCCCCCGGCCCCGGCCGCTGCCGCGACCCCGCGCTCGGAGCTGCCCGAGGAGCACAAAGCCGAGCGCGGTCACCGCCCCGCCACCGCGTCCGCGCGCCCCCGGCAGGGCGCCGGGAGCCCCAGAGGCAGCCTCTAAGTAGTTTAGCACACAGCGCCCAGGGCAGCCGCCGGCGGGCTGGCGGGACGCGCGCAAGAAAGACGCGAGACACGCGGCCACTCACTGTCGGCGCTGGACTGCGTGCCCCACTCCCGCCGGGGGACAGTCGGGGACCCACGGCGGGGGCTCATCGGGGCAGGGGCGCTCCTCCCGGGGAGCCCCGGGGCTGCACTGGCTCCAGCTGGAGACGCTTCCTTCTCTTCCTCTCTCCCCGCCGCCGCCGTCGCCGCCTCCTGGGAAAAAGAAAGGAAAAAAAAAAAGAGTCCTGGGCAGCAGTTGCTGGAAAGTCTCTGCTAAGCCACCTCCCAGCGCCGCTGTCCCTCCCAAGTCCTCGCCAAGTCCGGACTCGAGGCAGCGGCGGCGGCCAGGGCCAGCTGCACAAACTCTCAGCGCATGCTCCGGCCGCGGGCTGCCGGGTTGGATCCTGGTGGGTGTTTCTTGTCCCTTCACCCGACGCGAGCCCCCGAAGGGACGCCTCACCTCCACAGACACAGCCCAGAAGGAGTTAAAGCCTAGAGACTTTGGGAAAGTCCACGCAGTAAACCTCTTTAAAATGGTGGTGTCAGGTTCGGGGAGGTTGGGTTTATAACCATAGGGAAACTGGCTTTTATTATATGAAAATATTTGTGTTTGAGAAGGGGGGTGGAGGAATGGCCCAACCCAATTCCTGCAATGAGAAACTAGTTTTCACAACCTTTGTGGAACCACCTCCTGTGATTTGCCACTAACATGGTGCCCTAATGATCCTTCTTATCGCTTTGGTGCCCTCCCTGATTTAAAAAGCAACAAAATCCGGTTTTGTTCCCCCCTTGCACATAATATCATTTACATGAACCCCAGAGTAAATGTGTCCAGGTCTAACATCCAGGATAGGAAAAAGAATATATTTAACTCTTTCACGAGTGACCCAAAGTCACCAAAATTTCCCCCCAATAAGATTGTTTGAGTTTTAAGTGGGTGATTTGTATTGAATTGCGTGCATCACGATGGGTCTCTGAATTTTTTGAAACTAGTAATTCAGGAAGAATTAAAATAATAGGAGACGATCCTTCCAAAAGTACCTTCCCTTTTGGAAGTTAAGAAGTTTCACACTTAAATCACTCAATCATATTCTCCATGTAAAATGTTGATGTTTTATGCCTCATAATAGTCCACATTTCTATGTTAATTTTTGTGCATATTGTATGGCAAGTACAACTTCACTAAAAAATATGAATACCCTGAAATACAAGCAATATTTTCCAGAAAACCTAAAAGTGAGAGTTCTCTTTAAATTTCTTCAGAGAGAAAAAAAAGGGAATTAGAGGCCTGTGTCCATCATCATCTATCTAGGGTAAGTTGCTGTATGAACAGAGTGAAAACAAGATACACACTCTCATTTGGGTAGAAGTAAAATCAAGACTAAAAGAGACATGGAGTGTTCCGCGTTAAGGTCAGGAAAAGTCTTGGTAAGCAAGTCACTAAGCCAATTGTAAGGCAGCAAGCCCAGAAGAGCACAAAGATAGCCATCCACACAAAATACCAAGAAAAACGTGCAGTTATCCATCAGATGACTAACTCTGGCAACAGAGCATCTTCTGGAACATGGAGAAGAACAAAGAAACCCACTGTTATCTTCTGTCAGTTTCTGCTCCAGTCAGGGTGTACACCAGTTCTAAGCACAGACTGCTCAAACAGCCCACCTTCTGAATGCTGCTGGTACCACACATTCCTTTGAGAGAGAGAAATACCCCCACACTGGGGGAGTCTGTGACTGCCATTAAAACTGACAAAAAGAGTGCACATAATTCCCAAATCAATAAACAGAGATCCTCTTCTATTTCCAGAAAGCAGTTAAATGCCTTTTCATAATTCATAAACTTTTAAGGGCCCTAGAGTAATAAAACTTGAGAAATACGTATGTCCCCACTACTTTTTAGTAAATAAGGAATATGGAACCAAGAGAAGTTAAAGAAGTTGCTCAGTGTTACAACTCTAGTCAAATCAGTCTCCATTCTAATTCCAGAGTCATAACTCGCTAACTAGTATGCTAGTTCAATGACTCTCAAAACTGCTATACATGAGAATCACTTAGGGAGCTTTGGAAAAATCCTAATGCTCATGCAATAACCTGAACCAATTAAACTGAAATATCTTCAGATGTAGCCTAGACATTCAATTTTTCAAAGTTCCCAAATTCATTCTCATCTGCAGTGAAGTTTGAAAACCACTGCAACTAGCACTTTTCAGATGCCTGAAAACTAGCAAAGCACTATCTTCCAGTTTAGCTGGATCAGATCCTCCACCTGAGTGTTGATAAATTGGGATTAATATCCCCAATTACAGGTAAGAAAACAACTGTAGTTACTGCTATAATAATCCTGATAAATGATCATCAGAATCTATGAATCAATATTGTAGTGGAGGAGATCTCATTACATTTGAGACAGGACAGTATGGGCAGTTTTGATTCTTTAAGCTTGACCACACCTCTTTTTAACTTCTACTCCTCGATTCTAGTTCTGCCTTTTGGAGAGTCTACAGCATGAGCAACCCTTCTCCATCTGATAGGCATTCAACACTTTGAGGGCCATTGCTCTTTCCTCTCTCCAAGTCTCTTCTCCAGGATTATAGAAGCACAGTAAGATTTTTCTATATGAGAATAACTTTTTTGTGTGTGCACAAAAGCATGAAGGAAAATCACAAAATGGTCATGACTATTTTGAATGTAGAATAACACAGCAGGGAGAGTGTCTGGTCTGTTCACTGCCCATCAGGTAAGAAACCAAGTCTATGGCCATGCCTGTTTCACTAAATACTTTTTGAGTGTGTGGCACCCACTGTACCACATGCTGAAGATATTAAGAATCAGATGGACTCCTGTCCTCCAAGAAAAAGCAAAATTATTTTGTCAGTTTAGATAACAAGAACTAAGATTTATGTATGATCTCATTATGTGTCAGTCCCAGAGTCGGGAGTAAAACTCAGCTATCCAATAAGGTACTACAAGTTCCTCACTCCACCAAGCAACTCACTTGTACATATCTTATTCCATTCGTTCTGCTCAAATTGTGCAAGGGAAGGAGCTGCATGGGTATTTGGTTGGCTGAATGAGTTTCCATTGTTTCCTAGTATAATCTCCTTACAAGTACACCTAAGAGAGCTCTTCATTACAATACAGGAAAGAGATCTAATGTTTTAAGCAAGTAATATGTTCCTGACATAATAGGTACTTCTCAAAATAAATCTTATTAATTACCCATAACAACACAGTGAGATACCGAGACTGAGATAGTTGATGTCTACAGGGACATATAAGAAGTGAAGAAATTGAGAAGTTGTCTGACTCTTTCCATTGTTAATCTGTATTACCATACTATTGCAAATTGGGGTGGAGACTCATTGACAAGCTACAAGAAGAAAAATATTCTAGACATGTTTTATTAGTTCCTGAGAATATGAGGCTGAATTTCAACTATATATACTCAGTCTGTGATTGATAAATCTACTTTTATCTTTTACTTCTGAAAGAGTACACCCAATAGGACCTTAAAAAGCCTTTTATCACTGACTTAGGTAGCCTACTCTCAACTACAAGTTTAAAGTTGGTAAATAAAATACAAAATGAACAGCTAGATTAAAATTGCAGATAAACTACAAATAATTTTTTGGTGTAAGGATGTCCCAAATTTTGCATTAAACAAATACTGCACTGGACATGTAAATACTAAAAATTATTCATTGTTTATCTGAAATTCACACTTAACTGTGCATCCTAAATTTTTATTTGCTATTCTGGCAACCCTATGCAAACCAGAAAATTCAACTCAAAGTGACACAGCAATAGGACATAACTAAATATATTATTTCTTGTAACAATAAGTCCAAACATAGCAATTAATCCACTCAACAATGACGTCAAGGAATCGGTTCTTTTTCCACTTTACTCTTCTGATGTACACCATGTATCAGCTAATGTCCTTGGACTACCTTTTCTCACTATCCCGAGATGGCTTTGCAAATCCAGGTATTGCATCCAGTTACTACTTCTAGAGGAGAAAGAAACTATTCCCTGGGGGGCCTCTCCCTTAGGATCAAGAGAACCTCTCCCAGAAGTTTTGCGGCAGGTTGCCCCTTATGATTCATTAGCTCGAACCCCATCACATACATATGCACCAGTTATTGACAAGAATTACGGGTCTGCTGTGACCAGTTTAAAACAATCAGGATAAATTCCTTGTGCCTGGAACAACTCTTCTCCAAAGTGCATGGCCAGACAGAAGTGGCTAGGTAATTGAATAGCATCAGAATTTTGTTTGAACTTTGGGCTGAAGAAAGGAATGATGCCACCATTCTCTCTCCTGTTCATTGCTAAAAAAAAACCCTACCTCTCAGCCAACAATTCCTGTGGCTTTACTCAGCAACAGCCCTTAGTTACTGAGAACCAGTGAAGCAGTAACCTACTGGTCACAGCAAAAGATCCTATGGAAACCCCATTACATCATTCCCACCCCAAGATAAAAGCTGACATTCTGCACCCATATTTGCCTTGTACACCATATGGTGATTAAAGGATTGCCCAAATCAGCAACCTCATGAAAACCTGAAAACCCCTAGAAGAATTTCCTCTTAAAATGTATCCAAACCCAGCCTCTGTACAAAGTTCAGAGGTTTGGACTCATATCACTACCTGACACTGGTATAAATAATCTAGTCCTATTCAATAAATACTTATTGAATTGTTACTACAAACTCAGAATTTTGATAGGAGATAACAAAAGTTCTAACATAATTTTGACTGTCAAAGAATTTATCACTTTATTAGCATAATTCCTCTTCAGAAAGCAAAATTTAGAGAACTTAAGAACTCTTACCCTGTATAAAGTCTTACAGTTCTTTGCAACAAACTGTAAACAAAAGGAAAGAATCTGACTCCATTTATGAATAACTGCCAAACTCTACCTTTCTTAGATCCCTCAGGGATTGTTCCATCATACCAACTCAGCTTCTTGTCATGCCCGCCATGCGACAGCTAGGACAAAGGGAAACAGTCACCACGACAATCAGACATTTGTTTTCATCTGTTGACCTTTCTCTTTGCTGTGCTTCAAAACTTTCAGGTTACTTCAACACTGCCTTAGTAAGACATCTATTTTTTTATACCAGGTAAAAATATTTCATTTCAAAGTTATTTTCAGTTAGCTAATCCAAATTCACAAGTGTCCTCACCCTACCATCTACAAACCAACCATTTTATGTAACAAAAACAGTTGTGATTTTGTGATTATAATTCAGCCTGTACAAAAGATTTATCATTGAAACCTACACTTCCTATTCTTATGTTATTATTTGTATGTGTGTGTGTGTATTAACCACACCCAAGAATGACAAACTAGAGATGTAGTGGGTTTTCATGTCATAGTTCATAGTGTGAGTGCATACACAATTGGCTGGTGAACAAGAAAAGAAAGCTAGTGTTCCTGTTTTTGTTCAGTAATGGTGTTACTTTTTTTTCATTGTTTCAGGAACTATTGCCATGATGTTTACCACCTTTGTATTGACAGTATTCTTTCTTATAAAGCAGTATTAAAGGACACTAGTCACCATAATAAAGGAA